CTCACACTAGGTACAGTTGCCTTGAACTGTGCCAAAGCATGCTTGTCCCCACTCCCCTCTCCCCAACGGCCTGCACTCACACTGCATTTTGCCTTCTCAACCTGAGCATGCTTACGTCATCGATGATGCGACTGTTCAGTTTAACAGGAAGAGAAGCGCTCTCGCTCAGCACAGTGGAGATTGCTTTAGTTCAAATTCACTTCAGAACAGACGCGGATTCGCGTGATGGGCAGGGCTTCTGTCTGCCCGGTGACTCTAGCTTCGTTGCTAAATGGTTAACATGGACTTTATTGAGAAAATAACTGTGTTTGTGTGCTTTATGAAGGCTGAAAAACACAGTAAATTCCTTTAGAGCAGTGTCTGAGTCCACTAGATCCTTTCAGAGGTGCATCCTGCTCTGTGAGTTCATAAACTCCTCCAGAAACTATACCTGGATGAGGGAAGCATTCAGTCGGTGTGTGCAGGAGGATTTTCCCCCGGCACACCAATAACAGCTCCTGATTGGTTAACGTAGCGCGAATGTAAGCTGAAGTTTAGATATTCCAACTCGCGCGTTAAGTGCGTCAAACGCGCAAATCGATCAGTTCGCGCTGTGCCATTTGCGTCATTCGCGCCGTGCCATCGCGCTGGAGGATGTCTATTCGTGCCTAACTGAACATGTAAATCACTCGCGCATGATGCTTCTTCTGCGTCTGGTGTGAACACTATTTGGTTTGCGTACACGTTCATTAAACAGTAAGAATGGTTAACACATCCACATGAAACAGTCTCTTAAAATTGATGCCTCACCATCAGTTTCGGGCTCAGACGTGCTTTGAACTCACACTACAACCATACCATGCCAAAGACCAACAGAACTGCGCTCTGACAGACCTCTTTCAACCAGGCCAGGGCTGGCCAAATAAACCACGCCTGGGCCCGATTCGGAGCACTCACACTTGTCAAATGAACCAGGAAATGCACCTGGGCACAGTTCGGATAGCATAGTGTGAGTGCACCCTGACATTACTTCTAGGCCCAAATCCAGCACTAATCAAGTCTGCTCAAGCTCCATGACTCTGCACCACCAACTTCAGGTCTCCTGCTCTGGGTCCTAGATGAACTCTTTACCTTGATGAGTTTTATATTTGTTTACTGTCAAGAACCACTCATAGAGGTAGCCGTGTTTTGATTGTTGTTTCATGTGGGTTTATGTCCTTTGTTGTCTTTAGGCTGATTTATACTTCTGCGTCAAACGCCGGCGTATGCTACGGCGCTGACGCATAGCCCTTCGCCGTGGCCGTCGGCATCGCTGACGTGCACCTCTCAAAAAATGTAAGTACACGTCGCAACGACGCGTAGCGCAAGCTCTGTGATTGGTCGGCTTGGTAGCGCTGACGAGTCTGGGCGGGACCGAGAGCCGCGTGAATGGTGCGAGCCTGATGGAGCGATTGTTTACAAATGCGGAGTCCCGTGAAGGAGCTCCGGATGGAAAGTTTTGTTTTGTGTTTACCTCATAGTTAAAGTTGTTGCACGTCCGCCGGTTCCTGCCTTAAAATGAGTGAGTTTGAGCCACTTGTACATCCCAGAAGTGTTCAGGAAAAGCAAAACAGCAGAGAAGAAACTCAGCACAGAGGAACATTTACACCTCACTGCCCACTAGCGTTTTGGAAGTGTTAATGGAGACCAACAGAGACAGCGCGCAGAAGTATAAATGCACAGCTACGGGCTAGCATAAATATATAAAAATGTATTTACAAAATGTATAAAGACGTATATACAAAACGTATAGTGTATAAACAAAACGTATAAAAATGTATAAACCAAAACTTATAAAAATGTATAGACAAAACGTATAGAAACATACTGTATATACAAAACAAAAACGTAAATACAAAACAAAAACGTATATACAAAACAAAAACGTATATACAGCTACGTTGCATGCGCCGTGGGTTACGCCGGTCACTTGACGCAGAAGTATAAACCAGGCTTTAAAAGTCCTGTTACTGTTTTTAAGTTCCTTATTCACCTTCCTCGTGTCTTCCCACAAATGATATTGTGCCTTTTTAATTGTCTTGTGTTATTATTGGGGTTTTAACCGGAAGTTCTTCTACCCAATGCTTTGTAGATACTATAAGGCACTTTTATTGTGTGCGTAGTGAACCTCTTATTTTAAGCTCTTTTTCTTAAAAGTTTTTGTTTTCTTTTAAATCGGTGGGTCAACAGGAAACAACTGTTTTCAATTCCCATACAGGCGGCTCGGTGACTCGCAGCAAGAAAGTCACTGGTTTGACGCTGGACCAGGTGGCATTTCAGTGTGGAGTTTGCATTTTCTCCACATGTTTCCTTTGAGTGCTCCGATTTCCAGTCAAAGACATGCAGAATTGTATCAACTTAATTGGTCGTAGTGTATGAGTGTGTCCACAAGGCCATCCATCGCATATAAAACATGCCAGCGTAATTGGCGGTTCATTCCACAGTGGCAACCCCTGCTAAATCGGGGACCAGAGGACAGTGAGTGGGATTCTGCAACAGTCCAGAGATTTTTGAATGAAGTTCCACATCGGTAGGTATGGCCCACACAGAGATATGAACTCCCCATCACTGAAGCGAGTCTGGGATTTCAGACTTTGATCCAACATGAACAGCTGAGACTGCCTAAGCTCCTGATGTGCAACCTTCCTATAGTGGTGTCAGCTGTACAACTAGGCCACTAGCAAACACCATACTAGCACTTTCTTGACAACACTTAAATATATGCATGCCTGCATGAGAGAGAGTTCAAGGAAAGCTCATCGGTTCTCAAGGCATCTTTGCTCTTTTGCATTACTGGGGTGTTAATTGTATGTGTGTGGGCTCAGGGCAACACTGCATTAGTGTGGATGGGTGTTAGTGGGCGAGAGTGTGTGTGGGTGCTGCGAATTGGCAGGTACAACAATGTGCTGTGTGGGCGAAAGAGAGAACACTTTTTAAAAAACGGAGTGAAGGGGTGAAATGAGGCAGTGAATGTGGAGGAGGATCAAGGAAACACATTAATTAATGGAAAAGGGAATAAATTCATCATCGCTTTCAAAGCCCCTAATGAACATTTGTGATACCCTCCGCATGTTCACTGGAGATTGGGCTCAGCTGCAAGATAACACATTCATGATGGATATGCTTAACAGATTTAAAGCGTTCAGTATTTCATTGCATTTTCGTATATGAGAGCTTAAAGGTGGTAATGTAATGGGATTTACCTTTACCTGGCTATTTGTAATGATCTTAATCTTGCAACTCTTCACTTAGTGATGTCCAAACATTACTAGTAAACAGTATTTGTATACTGTAATGATATAACATGCACAATATAAATGGCACTCCAAATCTTCTAAATTCCAGTCCATTTTAGCATAAAAGATCTGTTTGATTAGCAATGAAGAGTTTTTCATTTTAGATATTTTGTATATACGTTTTAATGTTTTGTATATACGTTTTTTTATACATTTTGTATACATATTTTTGTTTTGTATTTACGTTTTTGTTTTGTATATATGTTTCTATACGTTTTGTCTATAAATTTTTATAAGTTTTGTTTATACATTTTTATACGTTTGTTTATACACTATACGTTTTGTATATATGTTTTTATACATTTTGTAAATACATTTTTATAAACGTTTTCGTTTTGTATGTACATTTTTGTTTTGTATATACATTTTAATACGTTTTGTATGAATTTTTTATACTATTTGTTTATACATTTTTTTTTGTTTTGTTTATACATTTTTATAGGTTTTGTAAATACGTTTCTATCTATTTTGTTTACACATTTATATATGTTTTGTGTGTGTGTGTGTGTGTGTGTGTGTGTGTGTGTGTGTGTGTGTGTGTGTGTGTGTGTGTGTGTGTGTGTGTGTGTGTGTGTGTGTGTGTGTATTATAGGTTTTGTTTATACATTTTTATATATTTTGTTTATACATTTTTATGTTTTGTTTATGCAATTTATACATTTTGTATACACATCTTTTTACATTTTATTTATATGTTTTTATACGTTTTGTATGTACGTTTTTATACATTTTGTATATAAATTTTTATATGTTTTTTATATAATATTTTATACATTTTTATACATTTTTTATATACATTTTTATACGCTTTTTATATGCATTTCTATACGTTTTGTATATACATTTTTATATGTTTTGTTTATACATTTTTATACATTTTGTAGAAACATTTTTATGCGTTTTATATATATGTTTTTATACATTTTGTATATACATGTTTTTACATTTATTTTAAACATTTTTATACATTTTGTATATAATTTTTTATACATTTTGTATATAAACTTATACGTTTTGTATATACATTTTTATACATTTTGTATATACATTTTTATACGCTTTATATATACATTTTTATATCTTTTGTCTATTCGTTTTTATACATTTTGTATATAAGTTTTTATGTTTCGTATATACATTTTTATATGTTTTATATATACATTTTTATACGTTTTATATATACATTTTTATACCTTTTGTATATAGGTTTTTATGTGTTTTTTATATACATTTGTATGTGTTGTAAATGCATTTTTATGTGTTTTGTATATACATAATGATCCTAATCTTTGAAATCATCACTTAGTACTGTCCATGAAAGATCCATTTGATTAGCAATGAAGTGCAGAAAGGAGAATCAATCAATCAAACAAAACCACAATCTGCATTTTCCCAGTAAAATATCATAACATCTCTTACTAAAGCCATATTTTATTGTTCACTTCCGTTGTGTATGGTGGTATCAGTATATTAAACCTTAGTAAAAACATCAAATACTCGTTTGAATTAGTTTATATAACTGCTAATTGCACATTTGCAATGCTGTAAAGTAAAGAAATCATTTACCAGCACTACTGTCAGACCAAAAAAACACATGCAGACTGAATAAATGCCAGTTTTCATAAAGTCTACATTCAGCAGAAGCTTACAGTAACCTAAATCAAAACAGAGGAAGCGATTCTTTACCTGCTGATAAGATGACTCCATGTTCATGAGAACGGCAGCAGAAAAGCACACAGAGTGAGGAGAGAAATATTCACTTGCTCCTGCTTTTGCTCTTCCTCTCCCTCCCTCTCAATCTCTCTCTCACTAACAAATTATGTAACCGGTAACATGCAGCGTGCCAGTCATAACCACAAAAAAACATCCCCGGCGGGGTGATTAAGACACCTACGCTAAGCGGAGCCATTTAGCCACTTGTCAAATAAATTTATAAACGGACATGAAATATTGATGTATTTTTAATTATTTAATTATTGCAAAGGAAAACGAATCCATGGTCAAAATCAGCTGCCTGGGTCAACAGTTATGTAATTTATGTAATAAAATAAAAATAACCACGATAAAGAATTAAAGGAGTAATCAAAGTTATCATTTCCTAACCCCATCCACTTCCTTTATTCATTTATTTTCCTTTAGCTCAGTCCCTTTACTTATCAGGGGTCACCACAGCAGAATGAACCACCAACTATTCCAGCATATTTTTTTTACACAGCGAATTCACAAAAGCCAAATGCACCTATAGCGAAAGTCTTTGGACTGTTTGGGGAAACGAGAGCACCTGGAGGAAGCCCACGCCAACATGGAGAGAACATCCACACAGAAACGCCAACTGGCCGAGCCGGGACTCAAACCAGCAACCTTCTTGCTGTAAGGCGACAATGCTAGCCACTGAGCCACCATGCCGCCCTCAAAGGGTCATGTAATACTTTATATAATCTTCCATACGTAAGACACTCGTAGAGTAGACCTGCAGAGTTCAGCATGTCAGTGATGAGGGTTTGTAAACAAACCATTCTCTGCTTTATGTGTGTGTGTGTGTGTGTGTGTGTGTGGTGTGTGGGTGGACAGGGGCTGAGGACACACATAAACATGTAGTCTTGTGGGAATATATAACGCTTCAGGACTCTGATCTTCTGTTGCAGTGTGGGAGGGCATGGGGAAAACAACAGAAAAAGAGGACATTGTGAACTGCTTTACAGGAAAAGCTCACACCAAATAAAATTAATGGATCAAATGTTTCAAAATGAACAGATTGGCCAAACTACAATTGAAAATAAAGTAGTAATAATAAACAGATTTTTGTCCTTTGAACTGAAGTTCCTGGAAGGGCATCAACCACATGAAACCTATGCCAAAGTAATTGGTGGTTCATTCCATTGTGGTGTCTCCTGATATACAAGGGACTAAGTCTGTCACGATCACCAGCGATCTGGCCTGTGCAGATCTGCCAATATATGATATGCCGATTTAATGAACTACGACTCCCGTCATGCTTTTCAGACACACCAGTTCCTGATTCCCCCTGAATGCACACACACAGCTGGAACTTCATGATGGACTAAAGACACGTCAAGCACACAGGTGTGCTCCGGGACAGGCTTGCGCAGTTGCCCCCACTGTGGCTGACGTGCACATTTAAAAAAATGTAACTACAGATCGTAACGACGCATAGCGTCTGTGTTTGGTCAGCTTGGTAGCTGAGACCAGTGTGGACGGGACCGAGAGCCATGCGAAGTTGTTGGAGCAAGTGTTTAAAAGTGTAGCTCTAGATGGAGACTGTTGTTTTGTGTTTACCTTATGATTAATGTTGTTGCACGTCTGCTGGTTCCCGCCTCTGAATGAGCGAGTTTGAGCTGCATGTACATTAAGGAAGCAGTCAGAAAAAAATTTAACTCAACACAGAGGAACAGAAAAACTACTGCCAGCTAGCGTTTCAGAAGTGCTATTGCAGAGCAACACAAACAGCACGCAGAAGTATAAATGCAGGTCTACGTGCAAGGCATGCGCCGTGGGTCACGCCATTCACTCGACAAGTATAAACCAGCCCACACACACAGAGCCTTTGCTGAGTCTTGTTTGCTGTAACATTTCTAAGCGTTTCCTTGTCTAGTCCTGCCGTGCTTTTGACCTTTGCCTTGTTTTCTCGTATATGTTGCTTTGCCGCATCTATTGATCTATTTGCCTGTTAACACGACTTACTTCTGTTAGCTCCTGCTTTGACCATTGCCTGCCTAACTCAGAGTTAAAGGTGCAGTAGGGGATCTGCCAAAATGCTACCTGTGTGGCATTTCTGTGTGGAGTTTGCATGTTCTCCCTGTGCTGGTATGGGTTTCCTCCGGTTTTCCCCTACAGTCCAAACACATGTTGAGTGAAATGAACTTGGCCGTAGTGTATGAGTGTGCATTAGAGTGCATGGGTGTTTCCCAGTACTGGGTTGCAGCTGGAATGCCATCCGCTGCGTCAACACTTATTATCCAAATATGTTTTGGTGGTGAAAACAGTCTCAAGTTATCTGACTTGTGAAATGAACCTGATATTATTATATGTTACTTTCCTTTATAAAGCATGACTCCTGTCCTCAGACTTTCCTCTGGCAGTGCATTGTTGCTAAGCAACTAAATGGAATACGCACAATAGAAATAGGACAGTTTGAGATTATAACACAGACAGGAACAGAACACATTCCGCGGGTGACTAATATATAATTAAAGGAAAACTAATCAGCCCCTGCATCATTCTCTAAAACCACTCGCACATCCCCTTTAAAATCCAACTCTTTATATCAGATATTAGAAGGTTATAGGAGGAGTCTCCACCTCACCAAAAAAATCTACATTAAACAGTCGCTTCCAGAAAGCCCCCTCTCTCTCTCTCTCTCTCTCTCTTCTCCATAACCCTGTGTGTCGCCTCTGTCAGTTGTCATGCCAACAAATAATGAATTCACTGACCACAGTAGTTTGTCCTACATTTTATATAATGGCACTCATGACACTGATGAGCTTATCAGCGTTCCAGATTGCTAAGAGGCATAACGACACCAAAAATGAATAAATAAATTAGCTGTCCTCGAAAATACTAAGTTTTTGACAGTCGGTGGATCAAGTTACCGCTTCAGCGCTGCTTTACTACTGTAATACTTTTGTCAGGTCATATTTGCGTTCACATTTATATATTTACTTCTTTTTGGGGTTTTGAAATGAAGCAAAGAAAATCTGTTGGTGTATTTTTGTGATATTTTTGGTATTATTTAATAATCTAATATCTGGCGCCCCTGAAGGTTTGTGGCATTTGTTTTGTTTTGTTTTGTTTTGTTTTGTTTATTTTATTTTGTTTTGTTTTGTTTATTTTGTTTTGTTTTGTTTGTTTTATTTATTTATTTTGTTCTGTTTGTTTTGTTTTATTTTGTTTTGTTTTGTTATGTTATGTTTGTTTATTTTTTTTAAACTTCCCAGGTTCGGCAGGTTGCAATGTCCCGAATTTTGATCCAATTGAATCTTAAGCCAATTGTAATCAATTGTTTTGGTTCAATTTGTGAATTTTCCCAAAGCCCCAGAACCCGAGGGACCAGAGTGAGTGCTCCGACTTGGCCCCCCTGGTCCTGTTTTGTTTATTTTATTTTTTTTTTTTGTTTTATTTTATTTTATTTTTGAAAGCCTAAATGCCAACACATATAGACTGAAGCAGAATAATTTATAAATGAAAATCTATACATTTTTTGGACTTTTTAATGCCCTTGAATTATTAGAAACATGAATAACTTGGTCGGATATGTTAGGATGTGTAAAGTTATGACACTGATGAGCTTATCAGCGTTCCAGATTGCTACGAGGCATAATGACACTACAAATAAATAAATAAATAAATTAGCAGTCCTTGAAAATACTGAGTTTTTGACAGTCCAAGGATCATTTACAACTTCAGTGCTGCTGCTTTCCAGTCGTTAACATAAATCTATTACAGTAATAACTAAATACTTTTGTGTGGTCATATTTGAAATCATATTTATATATTTAAATATGTTGCGATTTTTAAAATTAAGCACTGAATATCTGTTAGTGGGATTTTGTGATATTTGAGGATTAATGTTTAATCATTCAAGATGTGGTGCCCCTGAAGATTTGTGGCATTTTATTTATGGATATATTCTGACCAAGTGTGAGTGAAGCCAAATTATTTGCATGGCCCCTGGTGTCTGGCTGCGGTATCGGTCATAAACGCCACAGTTCTCCGTGCAAATAAACTAAACATGGGAATAAAAATTCTAATTACACTTCAAATAATTTTCCCAAGAATGGTTTTCAATAATTAGGTAGATCCCTGGCTCAAAATGACATCATCAGAGCAAGATGACAGCGGCCATACCTCAAAATTCTGGCTTCATTATTCATTAGTGAAATGAAGTGGAGACATGCCGACCCCAAGCTAACAATTCATTTAAAAAATATTTAGCTAATGTTCCCAAAATGTTCCCCTCCAAAAATTTTTTTTTTTTATTCTGTGCTATTTATTAGTGCTGCTTTTGAATTTCTCTAGCAAAATGAAGCTGTGAAAATCATTAATTGAGGCTTTTGATATAACTTGAGTCGAATCGTTTCTGCCATCTGCTGGTCACAGTAGAGAAGATTAAATAAATGAACATATTGTCTAATGCATATTAGCTTTGCAAGATAAATAGGCCTATTCTAACTAATTAGTGTCACATTTTATATCTGAATTCTGTAAACACACAGATAACATACAAAATTTACAGTTAAAAACTGTCGGCGTTTAATGAACATAGATGTTTGCTCGTTTGATTCACTAAGAAGGTCCGAGTCATTAGAATCATTCATTCAAGAATACTTCCGGCTAAGCTGGCTATTTAATTCATTAAATAGAACCGCAATCGTTCAAATATCGTACTTTATTTGTTTATGTATTTATTTTTATGTAAAAAGGCAGAACAATTACAAGTATGAACATTAAGTATGTAAAAGTCAAATTAAAAATGTAAATAAATAAACAGGAATAGAACAATTGTACGCCAAGTAACAAATATCATGCGATAGTAAAAAAAACAACAATAATGTAATACAATTACATCCTAAATTGACTTAAATTAACAACATAATCAATAGTTTTTTTGCTTGTGGATTAATATAATTGTGGATAGTTTCCAAATATTTGTTTACGTCGATTCTGAGTGAATCAAATAGGGGTTAAAATAGACGGCAAGCTTTTGTTTATGAAAATGAAACTTGCCTAACAGGAAATGTAAATTAATTATGTATACTTTATGCAATTTTTCTTAAGAACGAGAACTGTACGGCTGAACTATATGCGTTTGATTCATTAAAAAAGAACCGAGTCATTCGAGAATCATTCACTACCGGCTCACAAGAATCTTTCGTCCAGGATTCGAACGCAATGGTCTGGGATGTCAGTTTGCGCTGTAGACTGTTGACAGAAGCGGTGTCGGCTAAATAAGTGCTGCGGGCTGCTAAAAACTCGGTTTTTTCATGTAAATACACCGAATTCCTGTTTGAGAGCCTTTTCAAAATCACTTCTCAGAGACCCGGTGACCTCTCGTGGTTAAATGGAGAATTTAGAGACGTGTTTGAGTGCTTTTTGTTTGACATTGTGTCAGGACACTGAAGCTGTGGGTCCTTTGACCATCACCTGCTCATAAACACAACATTTTACATGGAGAAACAGATTCATCACACAGAGATTCAACTCACAGCGTGATGACGAATGGGCTCTGCACCGAGAAAGCAGGTTCCTCGAGGTAAATACCTTTTATTTTACCTACTTTATCTTTAATTTATATTTAACAAGACGTAGAGTAACAGGAATGGCTGTTTATCTACCCAATTCAGGCAGTCATTGAGCCAAATTAGGATAATTTCATTGCTGCTACTTCATAAAACTGAAACTGCCTGACCAATTGTCCGCGGCGCATGGTGGGAACAATTATGTTAATCCTTAATGTTTTTCTTCTGACGTAAAGTTCCCTGTAATCCCGTTAAAAGGAGAGTGTACTTTAGTGTGATTAAAGAAAAGCTGAACATCGGCAACACTAACTTCTAAATCGGTTCACTGAGGTAACAAACTGTCAGAATATATTCACGCGTATTTTACATTATAATAAAGTAATATAATGTCAAATGTTTTAATGTTCCTTATGCTGCAACCAATTTCACTATACAACACACTTAGAATACAATAGAATATGTATTGTCATTGTTTTGAAAAAAAAAAACTTAAGGTAGTATAGAAACTCACAGCTTTGAGTTGACATAATATATAGAAACACAAATAAATGCAAATAAAAATAAAGAAGTTAGTGCAATAGACAATATTAATTATATTATATGTGTGTAATAAGCAGTGTGTAATAAGCAGTGCAGTGTATTAATTATATTATATGTGTGTAATAAGCAGTGTCCATTATACAGCATTTGTATTTTACCTAACATTACAGCATATGCAGAAATAAAGAGATAGATAGATAGATAGATAGATAGATAGATAGATAGATAGATAGATAGATAGATAGATAGATAGATAGATAGATAGATAGATAGAAAGGTATGTAGATAGATAGATAGATAGATAGATAGATAGATAGATAGATAGATAGATAGATAGATAGATAGATAGTGTTGCACATTATATCGTTTCAGCATCAATATTGCAATGTGTGTATTCACAACAGTCACATTCACAGTATCTGCAATGTTGAGCTGGGATTATAGTAAGTCTGTACAGGGTTATTTCACATCACATTTGATTATGTAATTACTGTACCTGAATATCTGACTACTGTCCGACTCTCCAGAGAACCATAAAGCACTGCTTATTACACTTTTATCTTTGTTTTCGTCCACCAGACCTTATTTATGTTTGCAATTTGTTCGATTCACTTAATATCCCAGACAGTCAATCTAAATTAATGGTTTCATTATATATTATATATCGCAGAGAAATAAAATATTGCAATGTTAAAAGATAGCAATTAGTCCGTTTTGGACTTTGGACTGGCTTATTTTTTTGCCATTAAATGAAAAACCCAGATAAAAAATACTGGTAATTTATATTTAATACTCATGTTTTTGAACTATACAATAGTAAAGTGTGTTATACTATATATATTATACTATTTACAACACTGTTAATGTAAACATGTTACATGCTGTATTATTTATAATATTGAACTGATAATCTGTGATAAATACTGAAGTATACTTTAGTTTTTACTACAGTAAACTGTGGTGTATTACAGTGTAATATAGCCTATTGTGAAAAAAAGTCCAGTAATCTGGGTTATTTAATAGTACTGTACACTTCAAAAATGACCTTTGCTGCTTGTTCAAACTACTTACTTAAAATGAGTTCGAACAACACAAATCCTACAAGGTTTTTTTTAGGGGGACAACTTAATTATTTAATGTTCAATCCACTTAAATATTTAAAAACAATCAAGTTAACTTAATCGATTTGTGTTGACATGACATGAAGTAATAATGTTGAACACAGCACTTTTATTGGGTAGTTGTTGTGTTTACCATAGCATCTATAAAATCACCACAACAGAACTTTACAGTTCAAAAATACAGTAGTATTTACTATATTATACAGTGTGCAAATTGTACATTAGTAATCAGGGGGGTCAGCTGTTTTGGTTAATTTGTGTAATACGCGCTTCAAGTCGTTTGTGTATTCATTTTTATTACATCTAATTTATTAATAAAGTGTATTTAAGTTTCAGCATTTTAAGGGATATTCAATGTATTCTGACAGGATTCTCTGATTAGCTGTTTCAGATGTAACTGTAGGTTAAACAATAAACTATGCATCTAATTTGATGTTAATATCAGGCTAAATATAGATACAAACAGCTATTTTACGAGAAAACAAAGTCTTGTCAACACGATGTCCATCAATGCTCTAGATCTGCCACTTTCAGTCTTGAATATCCCAGTTGGCACAATTATGCATAACAATGGTTTGAACCATTATAGGGGTGGTCAAATGTATATTTATATGATCTGTTATTTTAATTATTGACATTATTATTTAAAATACAGATCAGAGTGAAATATTTCTCAGTATTAAAAAACTTACCCCCTATACATTTTGTTTTGACCTACTTTAGGGGGAATCAAGTGTTATTTAGTTAATCAATCCCCCCAAACCCCCCTGTAATTCGCACCTTGATAATATATGCTACATGGGTGTATTCTTTGTTTAGTTGTAATACTACTACTAATAATTGTTCTTTTTATTTTCACAGTAGAGAAACAGTCTATCAGCAGTGAATCTTTATCATCATCATCTTCATCCTCATCACCACCGCCGGTATGTCTGAGTAATCCCGCAGTCCCTCATATCATCGTCACAGCTCCATCTCGAGAAAACCTCCTGGATAAACCCGTGGGTTTGAGCATCGCGGACGCCAATAAAGAGCCGCGGCCGATGGGCAGGCCGATGTTCGTCGGTCGGGGTCGTTTCGTCACGGGCACAGCCTGATGCGCCGACTCTATGACACTTGGATAACGTTCAATACAGTCACATGGTTGAATGACTTTTCTCGCATCACATAATTTTTCTCAAGAGGCTTTGAGGCATTTAAATCTGAGGACTTTTGTTTGTTTTTTTCATCACTGGTGACTTTTGTGCTCAAACTAGTCCTTTACGAGGACTGGTAGGATGGACTGGCACCTGTACGTGTGGAAATACACAGCAGTAGTGAACTATAATGTAAAAGTACGAAGTGACAGCTTTTGTTTATTTATTTTTATTTATAGACTTTTTAGAGCAGTTTTTAGCTAGACCATAGGTCTCGAACTCAATTCCTGGAGGGCCGCAGCTCTGCACAGTTTTGCTACAACTCAAATCAAACATAACTAATCCAACTAATCAAGGTGTTCATGAAGTTGCGGTCACACTGCACTTTTCTCCCCATAGACTTCCATTCATATGCATGCGGAAACGGAAATGCAAGTTCGAGCGTCAAGTTTCGCAGTTCACTGCGTTGCAAAGTTCAATCTTGGTAAACTCTGACCAAAGTCATTTCATTTGGCGGCCATCTTTGAAACGCCTCTCAGGCAGTATGCTTGTGCATTATGTTTCAATGGGGAAACATAACGTTTTCCAAAACTACTTGCCAAGCTTACGATTACATTACATATTACGAATAACCAATAAAATTAAACAACAACTGTCTATTTAGTTTAATTTCTAAATGTTCGTATCACAAAATCTGCAGAAACTCATATCTGGTCCGAGCCCCTCCCCCGGAGGATTGTCATTTTATGAAGATCACTGATTGGCTCCTGTACCAGAAGGCGGGGCTTCATTCGCCATATTGACAGTTACACTTTTCCCCATTCAAAAGCATACGAGTGACATGGCTTGTGTATTCTACAGTCGTTGCTCTGACCTGAGAAATCGCATCACTTGTCCACAATACAGAATCAAAACATGACCCCTCTGGACAGAAATGTAAAATATGGACCAATTGCTTGCTTTTTTAAATGTCTAATCATCTTGTTTAATCCCGCCCCCTTTCGCAGCGCAGTACAACAAAATGCCGCATGCAATAACTCTAATGTGACCGCAGCTTGACTCCTTTGAACACCTCGGTTATTTGGATCAGCTGTGTTTGACTAGGGTTGTAGCAAAACTGTGCAGAGCTGCGGCCCTCCAGGACTTGAGTTCGAGACCTATGAGCTAGACCATTAAATAAAAAACAGCAATATTGATTGAACATTAAACAAATAAAAAACGATGTTAGAAAATATTATTAACAAAGGATACTTATTAGTTAAAGATTATTAATATTACCATTGGGCAACGCTCCACCCATTTTACACACTACTGAAGCGACTTAGCATATTTATTCTTTGGTAAGCAACATAAAATAACATAAATAATAATGCAGACTAACAGTGCTTTCAATCACAAATAAAACAATAAAAAATACTGTCTTCGTCGCCTTTTTATTCATTATCTTATTTCCTTATCAGCATATCTAGGCCTATATATACAGTGCTCAGCATAATTGAGTTCAGCCCATTTTGAAAAATGAATATTTTTAGCATTGTTGAACCTAGCATCCAGGAGGAACAATGCAGTTTTTGTCCTGGCCTTGGTACACTGGACCAGCTCTATACCCTCACTAGGGTGCTTGAGGGTTCATGGGAGTATGTCCAACCTGTTCACATGTGTTTTGTGGATTTGGAGAAGGCATTCGACTGTGTACCTTGCGGCATTCTGTGGAGGGTGCTCGGGGAGTATGGGGTCAGAGGCGCTTTGTTAAGGGCCGTCTCGTCCCTGTATGAACAGAGTAGGAGTCTGGTTCGCATTGCCGGCAATAAGTCAGATTTGTTCCCAGTGCATGTTGGACTCTGGCAGGGCTGCCCCTTGTCACCAATTCTGTTCATAATTTTTATGGATGGAATTTCGAGGTGCATCCTTGGGCTGGAGGGGGTCCGTTTCAGGGATTTCATCTTTTATTCGCAGACGTTGTTCTGTTGGTTTCATCAAACATGGACCTTCAGCATGCACTGGGGCGGTTTGCTGCCGAGTGTGACGCGGCTGGGATGAGAATCAGCACCTCCAAGTCTAAGGCCATGGTGCTCCACCGGAAAAAAGGAGGTTTGCCATCTCCAGGTTGGTGGTAAGTCCTTACGTCAAGTGGAGGTGTTCAAGTATCTTAGAGTTTTGTTCTAAGGTGAGGGAAGGATGGAGCGTGAGATTGACAGGCGGATTGGTGCAGCGGCAGAAGTAATGCGGTCGATGTACAGGTCTGTTGTGGTGAAGAAGGAGCTGAGCCGAAAGGTAAAGCTTTCGATTTACTGGTTAATCTACGTTCCTACTCTCACCTATAGTCATGAGCTTTGGATCATGACCGAAAGGACAAGATCTTGGATACAAGCGGCCGGAATTAGTTTTCTCGCAGGGTGGCAGCGCGCACTCTTATGGATAGCGTGAGGAGCTCTGTCACCCGGGAGGAGCTCGGAGAAGAGCTGCTGCTCCTCCACATGCCTCCTGGACGCCTACCTAGGGAGGTGTTCCAGGCTTGTCTCATCGGGAGGAGGCCTCGGGGAAGACCCAAGACACGCTGGAGGGACTATGTCTCTCGACTGGCCTGGGAACACCTTGGGATCCCCCCAGAGGAGCTGTGTCTGTGGAGAGGGAAGTCTGGGATTCCCTCCTAAGACTGCTGCCCCCGCGACCCGGCCCCAGATAAGCGGATGAAAATGAATGAATATTTTTATAAATTTTTCAGTAAATATGCGTAATATATATTGGTGCGTTTTAACAAAACAGATTTATTAATCAGATATATTCATTAAAATTATATTTAAGTCACAGAAACCTCTTTAGAAATGGTAGGATAATACATTTAAATTCATGCAAAATATAGAAAAAAAGATTACAAACTACAACATTTCAACAAAATTATATATATTTTTTTTGTTTCTCTTGATATTTTTTTTTTAAATACTATTTAATATTTTTCCTTTACATAAATTTGGCCTACTAATTTTTGAACCATTTTTGTAAGTTATTTTGGTCCAGATACTGACTAAACTACTGTATATACACAAATATAATAATATAAAGCATTATATAGAAAATAGTAATTAAAATAAGATTTGTGAGGGCTGAACTTATATTTGCTGAGTACTTTATATACATTTGGTAGGATCTGTCTTGGTATCAAACTCACTGAACGTAATCAGTTGTCCTCATGGGGACTTCAAATGAACGACTGCAAGCTTTCACGGAGTTTCCACCTCCTCGTTCTCGCCTCACGTGAAATCGTACACCAAATGCAGCATTAAAGTATTTAACCTGTTATAATAATCTTCAGTTCGGACGACAGACTGAAGATGGAGAGCACAGCAGACACAGACCTGGAGCCCCTAAAGCTGAAGTCTTTAAAAACCGACAGGACGTTTGTGATACCGCACAGCGAACGGGTGAGGCATGCTAAAGATAAACGTTTTAGGTTTTATGACCAAATATGAAATACATAAACATTAATATTGTGGTGTGTGTAACTAACTTTAGCTGGGGAAGTGCAGGAGTGTGAAGGAGTTTGAGAAGATAAATCGGATTGGAGAGGGAACATACGGAATCGTGTGTGAGTCTCGCTAGCACATGTAAATCAAATACAATGCTAATGTATGTCAAATAAAATGTTAATAAAATTACAAATATCTGTAATTATCATCACAATGACACGGACTATTTGATTGTTTGTGGTTGTTTCAGACCGAGCACGCGATACACGGACGAATGAGATTGTTGCCCTGAAGAAAGTGCGAATGGATAAAGAGAAAGATGGTCAGTTTGATACCTTCAGAAAGATAAAACTTTATATTAATAAATTAAATATCATGTTATTTCAAACCTGCATGATTTTATTTCACTTTACTTTACCATTGTGCTCTTTTCTAGCTAGAGGAAGTGAAATAGTTTACACTCCCCTCAAATGTTTTCGTCTACTCGTTATTGTTTATCTTATTTAAAAGAAAAACTACACAGAATCACCATAATACATACTTTTACATTCATAAATTTGTATATCTTTTCTAATACATATAGTTTATTGGTTCAGTCATTCATTTATTCAATGAGTACCATAAGGTTTATGTGATTTTGGGAGTATGACAGGTCTTAAATGTTAAAAACAAAATGTTAGGCCTTAAGTCTTAAATCCACTAAAATATTGTCTTAATAATTTTTAACAGGTCTAAATTTTTCATCCGTCCAAGTAAAGCTACACGAGCGAGCCGACATTCATCCGATCACCAACAATCCATCTTTATAAAATCAGGGAAAGAGAACTAAAAACAATTACACAGTTCCTGATGATAATAACAGAGCAATTTATCCCTGTACATGATCTTCCCATCATACAAAATCTGTTTACAGAAGGGTGAGTAGTCATAATATTTATAAATAGATGGGAAACGTATGGTTTTATATCAGAAATGCAATAGGTTGAATAGAAGTTCTACTTAATCAATTTGGACCAAAGGCCAACAAATATATATATATATCATTATTTATGTAATTCCCTCCACAAAAAAAATATACTTTAACAATGTTAAACTTGTCATTAAAAACAAAAACAAAGAAAGATCATGTTGAAAATAGTGTATACAACTAGAGTTTTATTGTTTTAACACATTGAATTATGTCGCTAAGAAATAATTACATTTAGGGTTTTTTTGTGGCAAGCAAAAAATAAATAAATCAATTGGCATTAGAAATAATGATTAGTGTTTAGCCTTGTATAAGCCTAAAATTTCTTTCATGATGGTCTTAAAAGGGTCTTAAACAGTCTTAGATTTGACTTGATGAAACCTGCAGAAACCCTTAAATGATTACTTTTGGAACTGAATATATATTAATGTTTATGTTATATTCTAGACCTGTTGCATAAATATTGCTGCACAAAACACTGAAAGCATGCGCTCAAGAAATGTATTCAAACTATTTATTTAAAATGAGTTGACAACACAATTCTCGAGTTGTTTATTATAAACAACTTATTGGTTTTTACTAACTTAAGTGGATTGAACATAAAACAGTTAAGTTGTCTTAATTCCTTTACGTTGTCCCAAAATAAATTGATTGTGGAACCCAGCATTTTTTTACAGTGTAGGTAATTAATTTTAGTTTAAAAGCCTTGACTTTAATGTTAATTTGTTTGAAAGAACTATGTAGGTTTCATAAATGTGGTGGTTTGAACCATTTTATGCAGTCATAAGTTCATAATTATATTCCATTCAATTCACTGTAGAAAACACTATAAAACATAAATAAAATTGGATAAAAAGGACAAACCCAAACCCTGATCAAAATTTTTAACATTACAAATTAATCAACATTTCTCAAAGATATTGTATTTGCACATATTTTACCTTTTTTATTATTTTTTCATTGATTATTTACAGTTTTTGAACACATTATGTTTAAATAATGCTTGCATGTCAGGTTTATTTGTATTATATTATATTATATTATATTATATTATATTATATTATATACCCCAATACACAGTTTCAAAGCTGCATTACAGTAAATGTCATTACAGTGATAGAAAACGACTAACTCCATAATACTAATAAAGTTAAAATATTTGAATCAGGTCTCTGCAGTTGTATTTTAAAAGACTTGCCTTTTGTAAATGATCTGCGTCCCATTCTGTATATCCTGGGTTCTTTCAACAAGCCAGAAATGTTGATTCATAGTGATTGTTATAGAATATTGCACAAATACAGTGAATTTAGGCTTTAAGTAATACACAGAACCTTAAACTTGATATATGGAGCTACAATTGCTTTTGGCTTGCACAAGAAGGCACTAAATATATGACTGACTAGCTCTTACCTGCTTAAGGTGACTCGTAAGGTGCAAAAATATTATACACATTAACATCATGTTTAACATTGTTCTGTAAAGCAGGTTTGAAAGCAATGTGTATTGTGGATAACGTTAAGCTCTGACAGTAAAATGAGTCTGATGTAATATTTATCTGCCATATATATATATATATATATATATATATATATATATATATATATATATATATATATATATATATATATATATATATATATATATATATATTATTTATATTATTTATATTATTTATATTTGGTGGATCTCGTAAGCACTCTAGCTGCTGTGTTTTGAAGCAAATAGAGTGTATTTTTAGGCCTCACAGAACTCCACACCAATAACCTTGTATATTGTATGTGAGCATAACTAAGAACAAACCGTAAATAATAAGAAATAAAATAAACCCTATAGTACCTATACATACTTCAAATTGCTACAAATAGCGGGCTATTTAGCCTGTTGAAGATAATCAAATGATAAATCTATCAAGTTAGATCAGTTCTAGCATCACATGTTTATGGTTAATCCCTAAATATCTTCAAGTAAGGAAAAAGCAAGGCAACAAGTACACATCCCTTTGGCACTCCATATTTAACTTGTTCTTAAGTCTGACATTTCTTCGTAAGGCACAGACAAACTGATATGTATACGATAAGTAGGATCTAAAGCATGCTAATGCCTGTCCATTCTGCCAACAACCAAGACCTTGTCCTATAATTAACTAGCTCTCCAGGATAAAGACATGACTTCTTGGTATGGGGTTTGATCACTGTCGGCCTGACACTTTTAGAATTGATATTAGAAAAGGGATTACTGGGGAGGTCGGTTAGGAATAAAGGCTTTTAAGTTGACGACAGGACACTGTTTAGTTGTATAATATTAAAAGTTTTGATTTCTTATTATGCTTTTTGTTCCTGTTGGAGCTTGATGTCCATAATTTTATTGTTATGGAAAAGAGCAGCTTGCACATTCTGTTGAATTTCACCTTTTGTGTTTCACAGAGGAAAAAATAAAGGTTTGAAATTGCATGAAGGTAATTTAATGATACACACACTGATTATTTTACTGATTATCTGACAGTGTATTGTACTACAGAGAAGGTGAAAAGTATCTGAAATATGTAATAATGTCTGTTACATCTTTCATAGCCAATGTTTGTCTTATTGATGCAGGAAGTAACTCCTGTTTTATCAATGTAAATACTGTTTTCATCATGAATATTTATACTGCAAGTTCTACAGCCATTAAATGTTTAGGGGTCGCTGGATCGATCCTAAAGTATTGATATTTTCGATACCAGGAATATTTTGAAAGGATCGATCCTTAAACAGAAGAATCGATTCTTTCTATGATTTTTTTTTTTATATATGATCACTGATTTTAATATCTTAATAATAGTAATAATGATAGTGCCGCATAATAGCCAGTTTTTGTTTAATTAATAATGTTCTTTCATTGTAATAAGTTAAAAGGAATTCAGTCTGTATAATATAATGAGAATTCTCAAGAAAAGGAAATTTTTAATTGAAGTATCGTATCGATATTGATGATACTTGTCTTGAAATACTAGAAATTGGATCAGAAAGAAAGTAGTTGGTATCGCCCATCCCTATGTTACATAATTACTTTTCACCCACCTTACTTTCAACCCAAAAACATTTCTTGTTGATCTGTGTTTAGGGATTCCCATCAGCAGTTTGAGGGAAATTAACTTATTAATCAGACTGAGACACCCAAATATCGTGGAGCTGAAGGAAGTGGTGGTGGGAAGCCATTTGGAGAGGTAATTAACATATATGACATAGATTTGAATGAACTTTACATTTAAAACTTCCTGTCTTATTAAATAATGCTGTATTGTTTGGAAGCCTGTTTTTAGTGATGAGCTACTGCGAGCAGGATCTTGCCAGTCTGCTGGAGAACATGCAGTCGCCGTTCTCTGAAGCTCAGGTGTGTTTCTTCTTTACTCTCAAACTGTCATAAGTCATAAAAGGCTTTTATAGACAAAATAACAATGTTTATTTGCACTGTAAGCAGTCAGTGAGGAAAAGAGTACTGAAATATCATATTCAAGTAAAAGTATCTGTTCTAAATACTATTCAAAGTAAGAAAAAAGTAGCCCATGTAAAAGTACTCAAGAGCATTGACAAGTTATTCCACCTTTTAACCTGCAAATTAAAAATGTAGCTTACATCAGTGCCATTATTTTTTTTTAATTATTAGCCATTCATAGACTATAGACCATTTTGAGGGATGAGCCACATATTAATCAATAATGTTATGATAGCCGTTTTAACGTAAAGTTATGATTGAATTCCCTCTTGTTGGTTATGAAGTAGTTTGATAACAAGCAGGAAATGCTCATAGGCTACTGACATGACCACATTGAAATGGTCTATAATTGTATATGAAGACGTTACATTAATATACAATATGCACCAATAAGTCAACAGAAAGACAATTAATGCGTTTAAATGCGGAGCGAAGGTTTGTGTTACCTAAATTTTAATATAAATTAACACATCGTCCTAAAAGTCTTAATAGGTCATTAAAGACAAAAATGTAGCATTGACGAATGATACTCTTTGGTCGTGATCTTCGACCCCTGACTCACAAGCTACGAGTGTCCAGCAGGTGGTGCCGCAAGCTCCTGCAGCACTGATTGAATGTATGCTATTTGTGTGTGTGAAAACGTAATATTCTGTAGTGCGTCTGTAGCTATTTTTTAAGATGATATGATGATTTCAGTCATGAAAGTAAACTTTGTTTTGATCAGTGACATGGTGTTTAACATTGGCTGTTAAAACGTGAGACACTGCAAATTTATTTCTGACTCAATTCGGTTTGAAGAATGCGTATGCTTAAGAAATAATTAGAAAGTTATACAAAGTATATTTAAAGGACCCTGCTTCTCTGAATTGATATCTGCAGATCTTGTTGGGGTAATGTGGTAACGTGGGTAATGACAGTGATACCTGGAGAGGCGTGATTGGGAGGAACGGCCTCCTGATCTGAACTCGAGTGGTGTTTTGTTTTTGGACTTCTGTGCTAATCTCAGTTTGTCCATAACAAACACCATGTTCAAGCATAAGGGTGTCCATCAGTGCACCTGGCACCAGGACACCCTTGGACGGAGGTCAATGATCGACTTTGTGGTTGTATCATCTGATCTCCGACCGTATGTCTTGGACACTCGGGTAAAGAGAGGGGCAGAGTTGTCAACTGATCACTACCTGGTAGTGAGTTGGATCCTCTGGCAGGGGGGAAGGCTGGAAAGACCAGGTAGGCCCAAGTGTATTGTGAGGGTCCTCTGGGAACGTCTGGCTGAACCTCAGGTCAGAGTGATTTTCAACTCTCACCTCCGGAAGAGCTTTGACCAGATCCCGAGGGAGGCTGGAGACATGGAGACTGAGTGGTCCATGTTCTCCAACTCCATTTTTAACGCGGCCGTGAGGAGCTGTGGCCGTAAGGTCTGTGGTGTCTGTCGGGGCGGCAATCCACGAACCCGGTGGTGGACACCGGAAGTAAGGGATGCCGTCAAGCTGAAGGAGTCCTACAGGGCTTGGTTGGCTTGCAGGACTCCCGAGACAGCTGATGGGTATCGACAGGCCAAGCGTGCTGGTCCCAACAATTACCTGATTTACATTTTTAATTTCTATAGCTTCTGAGAATCCAAAAAAGAGCCACATTTTAATCAATAATGTTATAATAGCCGTTTTAACGTTAAGTTATGATTGAATTCCCTCTTGTTAGTTATGAAATAGTTTGATAACAAGCAGTAAATGCTTATAGGCTACTGACATGACCACATTGAAATGGTCTATAATTGTATGAGAAGACATTACATTAATATACAATATGCACCAATAAGCCATTCACCCTATGTATCTTAGGTCTCTGGATGTTGTGGGGCTGTCGTGGCTGACACGTCTTTACAACATTGCATGGAGGTCGGGGACAGTACCTCTGGACTGGGCAACTGAGGTGGTGGTTCCCATTTTTAAGGAGGGGGACCGGAGGGTGTGCTCTAACTATAGAGGCATCACACTCCTCAGCCTCCCGGGGAAAGTCTATGCCAGGGTACTGGAGAGGAGGATCCGGCTGATCAATGCGGATCCAGGAGGAACAATTCGGTTTTCGTCTGGGCCGAGGTACACTGGACCAGCTCTATACCCTCACCAGGGTGCTCGAGGGTTCATAGGATGCCCAACCAGTCCACATGCGTTTTGTGGACTTGAAGAAGGCATTCGATTGTGTCCCTCGCGGCATTCTGTGGAGGGTGCTCGGGGAGTATGGGGTCAGAGGCGATCTGTTGAGGGCCGTCTCGTCCCTGTATGAACAGAGTAGGAGTCTGGTTCGCATTGCCGGCAATAAGTCAGATTTGTTCCCAGTGCATGTTGGACTCTGGCAGGGCTGCCCCTTGTCACCAATTCTGTTCATAATTTTTATGGACAGAATTTCAAGGCGCAGCCTTGGGCTGGAGGGGGTCCGGTTCGTGGACCACAAGATTCCATTTCTGTTATTCGCAGACGATGTTGTTCTGTTGGCTTCATTGAATATGGACCTTCAGCATGCACTGGGGCGGTTTACTGCCGAGTGTGACGCGGCTGGGATGAGAATCAGCACCGAAAGGACAAGATCTCGGATACAAATGAGTGTCCTTCGCAGGGTGGCAGGGCACACTGTTATGGATAGGGTGAGGAGCTCTGACACCTGGGAGGAACTCGGAGTAGAGCCGCTGCTCCTCTACATCGAGAGAAGTCAGCTGAGGTGGCTCGGGCATCTGTTTCGGATGTCTCCTGGACGCCTACCTAGGGAGGTGTTCCAGGCATGTCCCACCGGGAGGAGGCCTCAGGGAAGACCTAGGACACGCTGGAGGGACTATGTCTCCCGGCTGGCCTGGGAACGCCTCGGGATCCTCTTGGAGGAGCTTAAGGAAGTGTCTGGGGAGAGGGAAGTCTGGGGTTCTCTCCTAAGACTACTGCCCCTGCGACCCAGCCCCGAAAAAGCTGCAGAAAATGAATGAATGAGATCTTGTAGACAGTTTTTAAAATGTGTGTGAAAATGTACAATGTTTATTTTGCTGTGTGATTTAAAGTGAAAAAGAAAGCCCGGCCCCATACTCGGTATTCCGTTTCCATTGGAAGTACATCGACATACTGAAATGCTGCAGCAATTTTGGGTTCACGCAGACTTTAAATCAACTGTAAATAAGTTACCGTAATTAGATTACCTAAAAACGAATCTCTTGCATACGGAAAAGTAATTTGATTATCATCTTATTCATCTTTTCTTTGCATTCTGCAGGTGAAGTGTATTGTCCTACAGCTGCTGAAAGGACTGGCCTATTTACATCACAACTTCATTCTTCACCGGTCAGTGTTTGTTTCACATTTCAGATCCATTTACTCACTTTTAACAGCCCTTAACAGTGTGTTTGCTGGTCGTCTACTAACTACTTTATGTATTTATTTTTTAAGGGATCTGAAGGTTTCAAATCTACTGATGACTGACAAGGGCTGTGTTAAAATAGGTGAGCGAATATAAAAATCACATGTACGCAGTTCTCAGAAGCAGAATTCAGTTGTGTAAATTTCAACAGTTTTGAATGGGAGATGACAGCAAATATGATTTTTCATTTTTCCGTTCTGTTTGCTCCAATAGCAAAAACTAAAAGAAAAAGATAGCATTACTGTGGCTTTCTAAAAGACAAACAAAATGTTTGATAACATTATTTACTTCCAAAGCAATGTAACTCGATGTATAATGTTATAAATGTGTACTTTGTATATGAAAACGGTTCGAGAACAGTTCTTAAGGTGACTAATAGGGCTGAAATCAGAATTATTAGACCTCCTGTTTGTTTATTCTAGCCAAAATAAAACAAATAAGACTTTCTCCAGAAAAAAAAAACTATTATCAGACATACTGTGTAAATTTCCTTACCCTGTTAAACATCATTTGGAAAATATAAAAAAAAAGGAAAAAAATTAATGGGGCACTAAAAGTCTGACTTCAA